AAAACAAGGAAAGAGATTGATATGATTATGACTCATTGGGTGTGTCAGGGCTCTCACTGGGAACAGCCAAAACACACACTTAGTGCCAAATCTATTTCTATCTATTTAGCTATTTTTTCCCTTTATATCATATTTCATATGATATAAAAAGCCTGAAAGAACAGAAATGTAAAGCATATCAATGATATTTTCATCTACAGAGATCATGTCAGCTTTTGGTTTCCTCGCTTCGTTGCCAGAGGATCATTTCGTCTGTACGATCTGCCTGAACGTCTTCAGTGACCCGGTCACTACACCTTGCGGTCACAACTTTTGCAGGACCTGCCTCACTCAGCACTGGGACAGAAGTGAGTTATGCCACTGTCCAACGTGCAGTAAAAGATTCTATGTGAGGCCCGAGTTCTCCACAAACACCGTCATCGCAGAGATTTCAGGCCAAATCAAGAAGAGGAAGGTGGAGACGCTTGAAGACATGGATGCACCGGGGAAAGTGGCGTGCGACGTGTGCACTGATTTACAGTTCAAAGCCTTGAAGTCTTGCCTGGTGTGTCAGACGTCGTACTGCGAAGCCCATCTGGAGCCTCACCAGAGAGTTCCCTCTTTAATGAGACACAAGCTGATCGAGCCAGTGGAGAATCTGGAGGAGAGGATGTGCAGGAAGCACGAGAGGATAATGGAGTTTTTCTGCAGAGATGATCAGGTGTGCATCTGTCTGCTGTGCAGTGAGACAGACCACAAAGACCATGAGACAGTACCTGTTGAAGAAGAAGGGGCTCAGCAGAGAGTAAGACGATGCTGAATTTTATTTTGTTACATTTTTGTTAAAATGAGAACGCGGATCCTTGAAAATGACTGCTTCACCCAATTTAATTGCTTAAAATTGTACATTTCAGGAAAATATTGAGTCTCAAAAAGCAAAGATCAAACTGATGATTGAGGAGAGGATGGAAAAGATAAAGGAATTTAATGAGGGCTCCGAACTGCGGAAGGTGAGTATTGAGGCAAATTTCCAAATGTAAAATTTGTCACATTAAGCTTTACAGTGTTCAGTGCACACCTACATGTTTACCAATGGAGCCCTTTTCTTTCTCCTGCAGGTAAAAGCAGACCAAGAGATTGAGGAGAACAATACACTATTCAGTAATCTGATAAACCAAGTAGAAGAGATGCAGGCTAAACTACGATCAAACATTCAAATCAAGCTCAGAAAGTCACAAGAGAAAGACGAAGCGGTAATTCAGGAGTTGCACGACGAAATCGCAGAACTGCAGAGAAAACACTCAGAGCTGGACGAACTTTCACAAAATGAGGACCACCTGTGGCTCTTACAGGTAAGTTGTACAGACTATGACCTATAAGCATCTTATAATAAAATATATCTCTTTTAAAGCCAGGTGCAACAAATTTCTCCATCTTTTATCCATCGCTTTGTATCTTTTCCTCACTCACCCCTGCCCCAATCCAAAAAAAAGATCCAACTGAAAATAGCTGCTACTCACTATCATGTCCTTATGAATCATTTCAGACTTTGAAGGCTCTGAGCAATATTTCCGCCTCCAAGGATTGGTCCAAGATCAAGGTTTACTCAGACTTGTGTGTGCAGACGGCAAGGAGAGCCATGGCTCATCTTGTGCACACTTTCAAAACTGAACTGAAAACTCGCACAAAAGCAGGTAAATATCTGCAGCGTTTGTTTTATGTGTGAGGATTTCTCTAGTTTGGATACTTCTGTTTGTACACGTTAACGTAGCATATTAAAATGATGATCACGGCATTTGACTGATTGTCGTGGAGGCTGCTGTGCACATACAAAAGTCAATTCTTCTGCTGTGAAGCCGACAATTCAGTGTGTGCAAACACGAAACGACACCACAGCACATTTAACGTCAGTGCCTGGAAAAATATGCTGCTCTTGGTCAGTGCCATCTGCATGGACAATATAGCTTCCGCCAGCTGAGTGAAAACTCTTCATAAGAGGGATAAATAATTTCAGGGCAGCAAGAAGGTCTTGTCTTCTAATCCACTGGCTGGTGTCTTTCTGTGTGACGCCTGCATATTCTCACTGTGCCTGTGCCGGTTTACTCTGTGTAGTCCAGCTTCCTCCCACAGCATTAGGGTTAACTGGTAATTGGCTGTAGGTGTGAATGAACAATTGTATAGGTCGTGCTCCAGCCCCATTACAGCTCAGATTGACTCTAGTGAGCCTGAACTGGATAAATGGAAGGAAATGAATGGATGCATGGGATTATTTAGAAGAAATGACATGAAACTAAACAGCCAAAGCAGAAGTTCCTTTTTTTTTTAAAAAAAATGGCCAGCAGAGGGCGAATTTGTCTGGTTACAAAAAGTTCACTTGACATTTATGGAAACATGACCTCGTACAAGATGAATGACCTTTGTAAAGCTTTTCCTACAGACTTTTATAGTCTTAGTCTCTACATTTACATTTTATTAAATACATAAATTTTAAAGAGGTGACCTTTTTGACTGACAGGGAGTTACTCTTTAAGCATTCACTGTCCGTTGACTTCTCAGTTAGATCCAACCTTCAACTGTGACAACCTCTTTCAAAACAGCAAGACGGCAATGGTCAAAACGCTCAACTCAGCAAATGTGATGAAATTGCCAGATTACATTTACATAGTTATGAGTACTCCACATCTTTATGTTTGGGCAAGTGAAACAGCTATTCGCTAACTGTGGGATAAATAAAGCAGAGTTTATCTCATTTAATCCCAGTATTACCTGTGGTGCATCTGATATCTCTGTGTTGGTTTTGTTCTTGGATCATTAAAACTAATGTTGGTCCAGATTCAATGCTCCGAGTGACCAATCACATTGCTGGGATATCACAGTAAGGTTAGGGTGACAGGGGTTACAGTTAGGGTTAGAGTCTGGTGTTTAGTGTGATGGTGTTTCTATGCAAAACTCTTTAGTTTTAATCCAGGAACAACACTAACACGGCGATATCTGCTCATGCTACTGCACGTAGTTGTAGTTGTTATCCTGCGTTCACACTAGCATGTCATTGATTTGTCACAAGTTACACCACCCATAGAATTGTCTGTATATTCATATTCTTGGCTGCCATTGAAGAAGAGTTTTCTTTTAATTTGTTGATGCAAATCTCACAGTACAAGTATGTGATTTGAAACACCACACGTGTTTTACACTTAAGGTTTGCCTCACTGTGATGTTTTTTCCTCTCAGAACTGACCAGGATGAGGCAATATAAAGGTGAGTTCATAGATTTATATTTAGTTTACTTTCCAAGATATAAAAGCTCAACATAACTATTAATATATATATGTAACTGACCATATGTCTTTTTTCCTTTAAGAATCAGTCGCCTTTAACCCTTCCACTGCCGGCGAGGGCCTTGTGGTGACTGAATCTGGGAAACGTCTGAAGTACTTCAGAGCAGCAAGCCCCTCATCTGATGAGTTTGGGAGGTTTGACTGTCCCATGGTGTTTGGGACGAAGGGCTTCACCTCTGGCCGACACTACTGGGAAGTCCAAGTGGGCCTGAGAAACAACTGGGATGTGGGTGTTGCCAAGGAAACTGTAAACAGATCAGGAAGGGTTTTTTTGAAAAGAGAAAATGGATTCTTTGCCATAGGAAAAAGGTTTTTGGAGTATAAAGTCCACTCAGCACCCTCCACAGTTCTCTCCCTTTTCCCTAGGCCAAGGTTAATAGGAGTGTACCTGGACTATGAAGAAGGCAGAGTCTCATTTTTTGACGTGAATGAGAACTTGCATATTTACTCTTTCACAGGAGAATCTTTCACAGAGAAACTATTTCCATACTTTTATCTACTAGGTGGATCAAAGAAATCTGAGCCTTTGCTTATTAAGGATTGTCTTTATTTCTAATTCACTTCCTTCAACAATCAAAATGATAAATGAATAATAAGATCAAAGTTTAGAACTCAGAGTGCTGCGCAATCTGAACATCAATAAAACGTATTCAGAAATGACCAATTTAAGGTTAATAATTAACACCGACTGTTGTTCCCCTGTTGCCTTGTTTTACATTGTGATAAACTATGACACAGATAAAAATACCACGTACAAATTGTTCAGAATTCCAGACTATGAACCATGCAAATGATGTTTTAAATATGCGCTTGTAGAGTGTGTGCACAGTATATAACAAACTAATCAGTATTATGTAGTGTTAGTTCCATCCTCTGTCTGTTTCAGAGTTTTCATTTAAGGAAACTTGAAAGACTTGAATCAATTTTTTGTTATTACGCATCCTCTTTATTTAGCTTTACTCGAGTGGGGTCAAAATCTTTGACGTAGGATCTCCGGAGTACAGCACCATGTATGGTAGTCACCACAGCTGCTTCTGTAAAAACAGGAACTTTATGGTGCATTAAGTTAACCTCGTAAACTCATGGGAATGGCTAGGAGGTTTGTTTAATAGAGAAAGGTCTTGTCTTTTCTTTTTTTAGATATTTACTTTAAATGTTCTTTTTCTGCAGTTTTTTTCAATGTATAGATGTAATAACAAATTCTAACCAGTCTCAGCCTTTAACATACCAAGCAACTTTGGCATAATCTTATATAAGTAAGGAGAAAACAGTGATAAATAGCTATAACCCATTTAAAATGAAGGCAAACAACTTAAAATATAAAGATATTATTATTTGCAGTACCTTACAAATTATTAAGTAACTCAGGCAGGAAAGAAACACGTTTATTTAACTCTGATATGTTTAATTATTTGGGGCTTTTTTCGCGAGGGTTTGAGCTTTATTAACAGGGCCCGAGTTTATGGGTGTATGCTGTCCAGAAGGGCCAGCCCCTTTCCTAGCAGTGGTGGGTGTGTCTATATCTATGTCAGGAGAACCAAGTGAGCAGAGTGTAGCTCATTGCTGTTAGAGCCTGAGGATACACAAGCTGGCAGTTAGAAAATAATTGTAAGTATGTTTTATGAATTATTTCTTTTCTTTCTGGTATTTTTAAGACAGCTTTTGACCATTACATGAGATTTCTGTGGAGGTACACAGCTGAGTTGAACTTGTTTACATTGTTCATAGTTCGTGTGAGCGGTGAATGAGTCATTTTCATGTTATGCGTATTACTCTCAGGCTCAGGAGTGAAAAGCCACAATCTAAAATAAGTTTAGTTCGATGGCTGTGTCACTGTGACAAATGTAGCCATTAATGCTGTTACGTTCATAGAGAATACTCAGTGCTGAGTGGCTGGAGGATACGCAAAACTTCAAGATTCCTGCATGGCTCTGATGTAGTACAGATGTTTTGTGACGTACACTCAGAATTCTTTCACTATCAGTATCAATGAGCAGGAACCTTTTCCCCCTCTAGTGCAGATATGCTCGTATGAAAGCAGGAAAATCCAGTTTTGCATGAATTTTTGAACAAACTGTTACGGTGGCATGCCACTTCAGAACAAATATGGTGTTGCACACAAGTCTGATCAACAGTTTGATTGACTGGACATACCTTTGCTCTTGAGCCTATAAACTCATTCATTACCTCATATGGTTACATGTGAGTTATATTCTTACTGCTCTCTTGAACTGCCTTATATACATATTTGGTTTTTCTTTTCCACATTGCTGTTTGTTGTATCAGTGACAAAATGCTGGTAATGGTAATGTTTGTTTTTGTCTTTATATTAAAGTTATCAGACTTTGTTTCATGAACAGTGTTTCATTATAACATTTCAGATCGATTTTTGTGGGATATTTGACTGACCTCCAAACTGAAGTCGTTTATTTAATACTGTGCAAATGTTTTGTGCCAACAAACCTTTTTTAAATATATTACTTCCAAAGAGCCAGCCTTACTTCAGAGTGATTTTGAGCAATAGTTGTCTAAAGATCTTTTAGGTTTTTATTTGGACACTGGCTGCTTTTCACTCATGTTCAGTCCAGTCTTCATACCTGACTATTTTTATAGGAAGTAGTCGTTTTGTCAAGCCACTTAACTGACCTATCATTTATTCAATCAGAAACGTAACTCAAGGAATGAACCAGTCTTGTGTCTACACATAACATCTTTGTAAAGATCTCATTTTAAATCGTATCTTTGGGCACTTTGTTACTGTCGCCCTGTCACTAAACAAATCTGTTAAAAATGCCAAAGATAAAGCAATATGGTAATCCCATTATTGGTGCAAAAATCTAATTTTACAACGGTCAAAACTTGGCATATTTTGGCATGGTGTGCAAAAAAACTATCTCCAGCAGATGAACAGTATCTAGAACTTCTTTAGAAATAGGAAAAGAAATCCAGAAAATACCTGACGCAGGACCTGAGAGAAGCATCTGGCCCTTTAGTTGATACATCTCTTGTTCACTGAAGCCTCAACAGAAATGATCTCATTGGAAGGGCAGCCGTGAAGAAGGCTGAGGTATACCAAATTAAGTGAGATTTGGCAACAGAAAATCAGGACTGATGGAGCGATGAATCCAAAACTTTCGGTTCAAATCATTGTCAGTTTTCAGGGAGAAGGCCGAGAGAGAGGTACAACAGCGAGAGTCTGAAGACATCTGTAAAACAAGGTGGTGGCTCTGTCATGGTTTAGTGCTGCATTTTAGCCAGTGGTGTAGGAGATCTTGTGAACATTGATGGAATCATGGATGAAGAAAAGTACCATTTTGATCCACCCAAACCTCTGGCCTCTGCTCCGTGGTTGCTAGGTGACCCCTCGTCTGGGGCTCTCCTCAGCTCTTCCCAGCAGGGTGTCACGGTTGCCCCTCCGATGGTCCTTCTTAGACTCTCGCACTCTGGGGGCCTCTGGATGTTTGGGGCCTGGATCTCCTCCATGCCTGGTTAATGCCCTGTGGGACAGGGCTATGGCTCCACCCCCTAGCAGATCGTTACATGAATAAACCTTTTGAATACAAGAATGCTCATCCACACAGGTGTACACATGGGTGTTCACTGTTCACAGACACAAACTACCTCTTTCTTGGCTTCTACCTCAAAGCACATTGTGCGCTGTCAATCTTGCGTGCTACACAATAACATTTAATACTTAGTATCTAGTGTTATTTACACTTAGCTAGATTAATGCAATGGTGTTGCGTTTATTATATTGCTCTCTTTTTCACCTTGTTTTCCCTTTTTTTTTTCTTGGGCGTCTTTCTTGGCCTTCTGACAGTATTTCTGATGGGTAAAGAACCAAACGGAAGAGGCAAAAGAAAAAAAACAAAAAAATCTTTTTGCCTTACATGAATGCTTGCACATGTTTCAGCAAACTGTTGCATCCAAAGAAATTAGGGATGGCTTAAGATATTTGCACTGCACTACATGTTACTTTTTATTAATGTGTTTACTAAAGTTGGGCAGCACCTGTGGAGCAGTGATGATCTCTGTTGCCTCACAGCAAGAAGGTCCAGAGTTAGACTGCAATGTGTCTGTGGGTTCAAAACCATGCGGTTAGTGGGGTTAGGTTAACTGGTGATTCTAAATGGCCTAGAAGTGTTTATGGTTACCTGTTTCTGTGTGTAAGCTCAGCGTCAGATTGGCAACTGTCCAGGGTGTACCCTGCCTCTCACCCTCTGGTAGCTGGGATAGGCTCCAGACAAAGGTATGGATAAGTTGAAGAGAATGGATGTTTGCTAAAGCCAACCAGTTTTCTGTATTGTACTTAAGTAGAGAAGCCTGTAAAAACATTCTTCTATTCATGTGATCTTAACATTAATCCTCCCAGTAAGGAAACACAAAGCAGTTTATACAAAGATGGAGTAAGTGTTATTCAAATGCCAGCTACTGTTTGATCCTGCCAAGTGATACGAAACATGAGGAGAAAAAGTGTTTGTTTGGCATCTGTTGCCATATTTAGCTATTAAAGTAATTCTAATGAATAACCAAAGCAATAAAGACTGAAGCCTGGTGAACTGTGCATTTCCATATAGTCAGTGATACACCAGTCCATTGATGGGCATCGATGGCTCAAGCAATCAGTATGGTTATGTCCATCCATCCATTCTCCTTCAGTTATTGTTATCAGGGTTGCAGGGCCAAAGTCAGTCACAAACAGGTATATGTATTATGGTATTTTGCACAAAAAGTGGACAGTCTTCGTAATGACAGTAGCTCTGGACAGCTTTAAACCAGAAGCTGTTTTCTGTGCAGTGTGTAATTGTGTAGTTTCCTTCTGATATGTCAAGCTTTGTGAAGAACGATGTTGAATGTGTGCTAATAAAACCTCTCTTTTCTTGTCAGACGTACTGCTTCAAACAAATCATCACCTGTGCAAAAAGCAAACTGAAACAGGCCGCAGGTTGCTTGTATTTGCACAGGCATATTAAGACGCGATGTCAGACCCTCCTAATTGCTGCATCTGTCTGGATGAGTTCGCAAGCCCCGTGTCCATCCCCTGTGGACACGTCTTCTGCTTGGGATGCATTGGAGAATACTGGAAAATCAACGAGGCCTGCCAGTGCCCCCTTTGCAAGACTTTGTTTCCTACCAGGCCACAGCTCAAAACAGACCAGACACTACATACTGTGAAAACACCTCAACCTTTAAAAGCTGGAGAGGTTCCCTGTGACTCCTGCTCAGCAAAACGTCCTGCAGTCAAATCCTGCCTGATGTGCATGGCTTCCTACTGCACCACTCATCTGGAAGCACATTACCAGACTGAAGAGCTTAGGCGCCATCTACTGGTCAGTGTGGTAAAAAACCTCGAGGATTCTGTGTGCAAACTGCATGGGAAGAAGTTGGAGAAGTTCTGCAGGAGTGACCGGGCGTGCATTTGTGCTATGTGTGCACAGACAGAGCATTGGAGCCACAACATCATTTCTATTAGCCGGGAAGCCTTTAAGAAGAAGGTAAAGAAATTTCTGCTAAAGCTTTTTTAGAAAAAGTATTTACAAATAATTTTTGTTGGCAATAATGTAATAAGTATTCTCTAATTTCAGCTTAAAAAAAAGACAAAAAAACTTGCCACTCAGTTGGATTCACATGCTATCCCATAATAATCTCAGACAATTAGTGTTAAAGCTGTTTTGTAAGTTATATTTGTTAACAAATTAAACAACAAAAGTAAGAATTAGCTTACATCTTGGCAGCCATTTCTTGCCTTTTCATTCCCTTTTTGATTACTTTTGTAAATTTGGATGGGGGTCAAAAAATTGACTCTTTTTGTAATCAAAAAGTGAACTGAAGCTCTTGATGGAGTTTTGTTTTGTGTCATCCATCAAAGCAAAAGAAACTGTCATCACGGGGTGCACAGGATTGCAACATAGTTCAGAAGAAGCTCAGGAGACCATACGACGACTTGATTTAACAAAACATGGTACAAAAGTGCCTGCAGTATGTCAGCTTAGCTGTGCTAATGCAGTGTCTCCCCACAGGTTATTGTAAAACGAAGGAGGATGAAACTTCAGCAAGAGGTTCAAGATAGAGTGAGTGAAGCTGAGAAAATCAAACTCACTGTAGATCTCAGTGGACAAAGTCCAAAAGAGAAATGGCAAACAAATAAAGAGCTCGAACAGCTGGAAGATGAAATCGTTGAGCTCCAGAGGAGAAATGCTGAGCTAGAACAGCTCTTGAAGATTGAAGATGATCTCTTATTCTTACAGGTTTGCTTCCTGGTAAACTTAAAACCAACTGCAGCATTAAACACATGCACACAAAACACAACACTAATTTCAGTGTTGTGTCTCTCTTGTCTCTGCAGAGATCTCTCCATGGTGCTTTGTGATTCAAGAAACATGCTGATCAACAAATCTTTATTTATGTGTTTGTTTGTTTGTTTTTTTAGCTATAAAATGATTATGTAATCTCAGCTGGGTGGGTGTGTTAGCTTTCAAGGAAAAGTATGCTCTGATTCATGAGAAAGAGATGAGAAGTGTCACTCAATTATTTTTGCATTTAATGTAAGGATACAACCAGCTGACTTTTAGCCTACAGTGAAACACAAACTTGAACTATTTATACTTTTGAACCTCAATAATACTTTTAAAAAGGAAAAGCTAGCTAGTTCCCAGGATTTCCAATGCTAAGCTAAGCTAAACTGTTGCTAAGCTAAACTAAGCTAAGCTGCCGGTGGCTGTGGTCATACATTTAATGTAAATGGTATTGATCTCATGTATCACTCTGCCAGAAATCCAATGTATGCACTGAATTTTATATTTTATATTTTTATATTTAAAAAATGAATCGTTTATACGGGTTTAAAGAAACTGTGAAGTTTAGAAACCTCAGGGACGTTGAACTTGGTTGTATGAATGTAACTTATTACTGGGTGGGTGATGCAATTAACTGCTATTCAGTGCCAAAAATGCTTTTGTCTTCCTTTTTGATTAACCAATAAAATGTATGTAAAATAAAACTTATGATGAGCAATAGGCAGTATTTCGACCGAAGTCCTGTGCAATAAAAAGGTCTTGTGAAACTGGATACTTGATCTGTATGAACATGCTGAGCACACACAACACGCCCTGCTGCAGGCACACAGATGATTTGTTTATGCGTTTGCATGCCAACTCGTCTCTGGAGTGAAAAATGTGAACGGTTGGGAGTATGAACAGAAATGAAACTTAAACTCTAGGAGGAAGTCCAAAAGGAAGGACACACACTCACACACACACCGGGAGTAAAGGGAAACGGAGACAGATGCCTTTGAGATCTCATTAGCTGAAAGGTAATACTGTACTTTTTGCATAAACTTCATATAAAAAGACTGATGTTAAATGACAGATATTACATGTAATATACAGTTAGCTTACAGCAATAGATTTAAATCAAATGTGTGTGATCAACTGTACTGTAATAGAAACATACAGTGTGTACCGGTACTTTATATTTGGTGTCGAGTTTCCTCCTCCAATCTTCAACACTCCCATTTGTGAGGCTTATTTACAGGGTGTGTCACTAGTATTCAGTGGTTTTTACTTCTTACTTTTAAGAGGAGCCAATAGAAAGTTTCAGAGAATAAATTGTCATTGTATCCAACTTATTGCACACAAATTACAGTGTATGCAATTCTATTTAGTTTGACTGTTTGCTGACTTTATTAACTATAAAGTGAATACTTTGACCTGCACACATGTTAAATATTAGCAAATAACTTCTGTAGAATTTAAGTAAGTCCTGGTAAATAATATTAATCATAATACTTTAACTAAATGATATTACAAAGTGGAATTAATAAGCAATAAACTCAATCTTGTTCAGTTAGGCGTACTTCCTTTTTTTTTTTTACTTCCACTAGAAGTAACTAGAAGTGGATTTGTAAACTGATTCTGAAGCCTTTGTTTCAGCTCATCTTCTTCTGCGTAAGAGACCGTATTTACACGTTTAGAGATTAGAGCGCTAAATCATCAGATAATGCTAGCAAGCTTGGTAAACCATGTGTCTCACATGGACACAGAAAGTAGTGCTAATTAACATGACATGGCAGAATTTCATACATCAAATCGTGACCACAAACTCTTTGAATGGTTAGTACAATTAATTCTGGGAGCTGGGAGGTCCAGCTCATTTAGCTCAGTTTGTTTAGGTGACGACTATACAGCATGTGGCTTAGTTGGAAATAGACACACCCCGAGCAATGCATAGCTTTAAGCCTCAAGTGATTTAAGAAAGTGTCATATCAACCAAGTGCTTTAAAGCTGCAAGGAAGGTTTACCTAAGCCGCATACACCAAAATTTAGTTTTTGCTTCAAAGCTGAGCAATTTTACACAGCAATTTTATTTGACAAAATAAAAGTCACTGTTACTTTTCTTAGTGAATAACCTTGTGGTCCTCTCTTGAAGCAGATATGGTCCCAACTTCAGCATCACCCAGTGAGCCCGGCTCGCTGGGGAAGCATCTCCACTGCTCCATCTGCATGGACACATTTACGGATCCTGTCACTACAGCTTGTGGTCACTCATTCTGCAAGCTGTGTCTCGACCGAAGCAGTCATGTCAATGACAGTGTGTGCCCACTATGCAAGAATTATATAAGCAGGATCCCTGATGTTAATATAGTCCTGAGAGACATTGTAAAACAAATGAAAGAGATGCAGCAGGAAGACAACGATGAAGAATACACTGGAGCTGCAGGGGAGGTGGCCTGTGATGTTTGCAGTGACAAAAAGCTGAAGGCCAAGAAGTCCTGCCTTGTGTGTCTTGCATCGTATTGTTCAGTTCACCTGGACAATCATTTGTCAACAGAAAGGTTGAAGGGCCACAAGTTGGTGGAGCCGGTGGAGAATTTGGATGCGAGGGCCTGCTTGAAGCATGGACGCCCCTTGGAGCTGTACAGCAGGGAGCGGCAGGCATGCATTTGTGTTCTCTGCATGGAAGGTCAGGAGGAGGTTGTCTCAACTGAAGATGAATGGAAGAAGAAAAGGGTAAGTTACCATAACAACCTCTGAATATGTGTTTTGAGTCTTGACAGCATTGTATATATTTTACTTACTATACTTTCTATATTGTGGCATGTGAAAGAATTTTCAAGTGCACAAAAAAGGAGTACACGTGGAAAAAATACATTTTTAAAGTATTATTTTATGTTTCTCCTACAGTCTGAACTTGACAACACCAAGACAGAGTTAAATGAGAACATTGACAAGAGAAAAACAAAGACTGCTGAGATTGAGGAAGCTTTCAAGAGCTGCAAGGTAAGCAGCAAGTAAACTGACTTTTAGAGAAAAGTCAACCAAACAACAAACCTTTACTTGTCACATACATAATTATACACAGTACAACATGTAGTGAAATTCTTGAGTCCGAGCTGCGGACAGGCTGCAGACATAGCTGTGCCATTCCAGGGCTTGGTTTTAGCATGGGGGGTCTAGGCAGGACCCTTACTGGATACCAGGTGGGAATCAAACTTGTGACACTCACTCCGAATGTGTGTAGTCTTACCACTACACTATCCAGCTGCTATCAGACGAGTCAAAGTGAAAATCTACCATGTCAGTTTGTTTTTCAAAGATAAAAATTGTGTTTATGGTAACTGACTGAATGCTGAACCTTTCTCAGAATTAACTTCCCTAACTAAACCAGTCAAAAAGTTGTGTGGGACTCTATGTAATACAGAAAAAAAGAGGTGAACAGTCAAATAGACATTCCTGTTTCATTCCATTTTCAGGACCAGCTGGACATTGAGTGGTGGGATATTGACAATGTGTTCCACGCTGTGATGGACATTGTGGAAGAAGCCCGTGCCAGAGCCCTTAAGCCAATAACAGACAGGAGGCAGGTTTTGCAAAAAGAAGCAAATGGCCTTAAACATGAGTTGGAAGCAGAGATCAACAATCTTGAAACAGCCATCTCTGAACTAGATAACATTTCTGTTCTCGAGGACCACATCCTTTTCCTGCAGGTAGAGAAAACTTTGGGATGATATATGTGGCACATTCATAATCAGTCTGAAGGATAAACATATCTGATTAGGTACTGACATTTTGTTCAGCACTGCTATCAAACTGTTGGGTTGTATTTCTGTTTTGCAGAAGTACCCATCTCTTACAGACACGGGAGACATCATAAACTGGGATGAGGTAAAGCTGGACACATCGCTGTCCTTTGGCACCATCAGGAAAATCACAACTAAAATGCTGGAAAAAATTCACCAAGAAATGGATAAACTAACTCTCATTGGTAAGAGCAGCTAGTTAAGAGCAGTGAAAACTAAAAGTTAAAATGTTGACTTAATCAATCTAAAACTTTTCTTCTCGTCACAGAACTGAAGAGAATCCCAAAGTTTTCAGGTATGTGGTTCATATTATTTGCTCTCTTAGAAACTGTGACTTGTTTAAAATACAGACTTTCTTTTACATGTTTTTAATTTTACAGTGGATGTAAAACTGGATCCAGATTCTGCACACCAACGCCTCGTGCTGTCTGAAGATAGGAAGGAAGTGAAAGATGGAGGAGAGAATCAGGAACTACCCCGTTTCTCTGAAAGATTTGATATATTTAGCAGCGTTGTGGGGCAAAATACCTTATCCTCTGGGAAGTCTTACTGGGAGGTGGAGGTCAACAACAAGACGGGGTGGGATATAGGCCTAGTAAGAGGCGGTGCAAACCGCAAAGGGAAGCTCAAACTCAGCCCAGATAATGGGTACTGGGTTATTGTACATTATGAAGAAGATAAGTATGCAGCCCTCACAGCACCGCCAGTTCGTATTCACCTAAAAGAGAAACCTGAGAAGGTGGGAGTGTTTGTGGACTACGAGGAAGATCTCGTCTCCTTCTACGATGTGAAGGCTGAGTCCCACATCTACTCGTTCACTGAGTGTTCATTCAAAGCTGAGCTTTACCCATATTTCAGCCCACACGTGAAACAAGAAGAGAAAAACGCTGAGCCTTTGATTATTTGTAGAGAGATACCAATGGAGTCTTAAGAAATGCATTTTAACTACAATATACTAAAGTTTGTTGGTCCACAACCTTCCTGCTTTTCTTTTTTCCGATACAGGAAAATGGGAATTATCAGGCATTTCATTTACCTTAGACTTTTTTTTTCATATATATCTTTACGTTTAGCAGCTAGTCACAGACCAATGATAGTAAAGCAAATACTGACCGTTTATCTTTTCTCCGTTATTTGCTTTATTACTCAAAAGCCTTTAAAGCAGTCTTCGTAACCCCTGGTTTGGTCCAATTTACTAATTGAGATAATCAGAATCATAACACAAAACAATGCTGCTACAGTGTGCTCACACTGCTATTCAACATGTGAACCAGTCAAGACTTACAACCTGAGCCAGAACACAAACTCTTAATCTAACTGTAATTTAGACGAAGCTTAAAATACTGTGGTTAGTAAGAAGAGTGTGTGTGGTTTTCTTTTTACACCATGTTGGAGGACCAAATGGATCCTAGAACTTTGTGAATCAGACACTATTAAAAACTACACGTACTTGCACTCAACATTGTGACAGTTTTGCTTAGTAGTTACTTCTGTATTGTTTTTTTATGAAAGGTTATTCGATAACATATCCAAAGATGAAACAATTAAATTGCTTACACAATTTAATCCAGAAAGTTATTTTTTCTTAGAACAATCCTGAACATTTAATAGATTTGTTTATAAACAGATAGCTGATCAGTTGAAAATGAAGTTAGCAGATTAACTTATAATGATTTGTTGCAGTCTTGAACACAACCTACCTCTAGCTTGATTAGCTGCAACAGCAACAACAGTCTGTGTTTAAGTGAATGTATGGGCAATAAAGATCAGCAATAAAATCTTATGTTACAAGGGGCTTTCAAAACATATACTTTAATTATATTCCCAGTTTTTTAGTTATGTATCCCACTTAATTATTTTGGGGTGTTTTGTGGCTGTTCTTTAGCACAGACTTGTATTGTGTTTAATTTTATTTTGAAGTTTTTCACATTGCAAACTAGTCTGTATTTTTTTATGGCAAAGCGGTGACTGAGGTCAGTCTGGAACTTGAGATAATTAAAGCAGAGCACAGACAGTTCTTGTAACTGTGTCAAGGTCCATGATTAGCTGTGTCACCACTGTCCCATAAAAAGTACACACAAATATCAAATGTACACTTTTACAGTTTCAGCCTTTCCTAAACCCACCACAGCCTCAGTGTACAGAACGATGCATCATCTGAAAACAACATAAAAATGCAAACTGCTTTCCTTTCCTTATTTTGCCTTGCTTCCAGAAAAGTAGTCAAATTTCAGGATAAATGAATGACATTCAGTGTTGTCAGGCAATGTCAAACAGCATGTAATGAATAAAATCCCTGTTTCAAAATATAACTTTGTCTCTCCTTTTTTATTCATCATGGCTGTGACCATGTTTGTGTGCCGTGAAAATATGCAGTTGAATCATGTCTGGGCAAATCTATCAGGGGCGGTTGGCGGGTTTTTTTCCTCCTTCTTTTTTTTCTTTTTTCCGGAAACGAAAGTAAAAGCACAAAACAAAGCATACCAAACATCATGTCAGCACAGAGGTAACGGTAGACAAAGGAAGAGAAGAGTGCACAGTAGAGGCACCACATGCATCCATCGCCCTGATTCTATTGTAAGTAACACAGAGAGCAGATTTATCCAGCTGATCTTTGCTATTGTGTGTTACGATAGAAAACAGAGGAGAGCAAAATCAAGAATCCACGGTGCCCTAAATAATGAGGAGCCTGTACGTCATCAAGTCACAGCTTATTTCGGTGTGATGCTACAAATGGATATCTAACGTACTCCAGGAATTGTAATCAATTTTAAAAAAAGTAAAATTGACTACTTTATTGTTATTATTATTATTATTTAGTTTGTTTAAACTATGATAGAAGTAGGTGATGGAGAAGACACATGTAGAGGTTTAGCTGTAGTCACGTCAAAATTGAAAAGGGAAGTAATGAAACTGATGTTTTACGGTTCTTTCCTGTTGTCTATCATCAGACAGTTACCTGGAAGACGACCCAGTGGCTGCCTTTTGATGCCAGCCTGCTGCTTTTAATGCAGTAGGTCTGCAACCAACACAAGCCAGTTAGGTAAATAACATTAGCAATTAAAAATTTAGTTTTCTAATATTAGCGAAGTGACGACTTACAGTAGAAAAGATGGACCCGCAGCAGCTGTGGATAAAGGGAAGCTTGTCACTTTCGCTACCTGAGCCGCTGCAGCTGTTGTAGCTTGGATGTTTTTAAACGTTTATATGATGATCCAGATGTTAATGCACATTTTGAAAAGAAAAAAAAAATCATAGTTTTTGTGCGTACAACACAAGAAAATGGTAAAAGATAACTGTTCTCACATTTGAGGTAAAATGAACACTGTAATAACAATCACAGAAAGTTTACCTTCTTGATAGTGTTTCGTGAATCACTCGGTGCAGTCAGCACAGTTATTTTGAGAGCAAAAAAGGAAGTCACACAGCATCCTCTGTGTGTCTTTTGTTGTGTGTGTAATGCAGACACGCAGCAAAAATGGAGCTCCAGGTTTGTCACTCCTGCGGATGGTCCAAAGTGACAACTTACCAGGGCCTGAGAATTCACCAGGGGAAGATGGGATGCACCCCGAAGGGTGTGAGGGTTTCAGACCCTCCACAGCATTACACACAGAGCTATGTGGGACACACAAAAACTCAAATGGACCTCAGGCTAGATGTCTGCACCTCTTTCAAGATTGGTAGGTTTGTTTGTTTTTTAAATATTATGTTGTGTGAGTTCAAGATTATAACTTTTCTTTCAAACTGATAAAAACACCCCAATAGGAAAAGACCTGATCCAACATGTTCTCACTCCCAAAGTGTAACATTTTATGCTAGGTGACAAATCATATTACGCTTCCGGGCACCCAACACATCCCTATATCATGAGAAAAATGAGGAAACATGAGAACTGTTTGGAATGAATCTACACATGTACCTTTATTTTACTATCTAACACTATCTAACAGCATTAAAGTTGTGGTTAGGGTTAGGGTTGGAATACATGGTTTAAACGTCTATTACTGAGGGAGCGTCATTCTCCTGGATTTCCTCCATAACCTGGCACCTACCATAAAAACACGGAAGGTCACCTTTCGTTTTCCTCAGGAATGCCGTGGGATGTATATTATGCCTCAGGTGTGAGAACGGGATCCCATATCAGCAGATTAAAGCGAACCAAACCGGAATTAGTTAAAAAAAAATCATTTTCATTGCTATGAATTTCTATTTTTGCTTAAAACTATTTAAAATCTTCATTTGACTCTTGAATTATGTGACAAACAGAAACAACAGAATATTCAAACCTGAGCCTCCAGGTTTGTCACTGCGGATGGAATAAAGTTACGACTTACCAGGGTTTAAGAATTCACCAGGGGAAGATGGGATGCACACCAAAGGGAGTGAGGATCCCCCAAAAGGAGCAGTACAAATGCAAAAATCAGTGGGAGGAGGACACGGAATACTGGAAACCAGCTAAGAAGGCGACTGTAAAGGAGGAGGTATGAGTTTGCTTTTTAGGCCAATAAATGAGTGACAGGAAGCACTTTAAGCTTTGGCCACTACCACCACCTTTTCTTTTTTTTCAGAATGAAAAATAACAAAATAATAATTTATAAAAGTAAAGGATGACTTAATGACTTTAGTTGCTTGATGTTTCGTTAAATCACGTGGTGAACAGACGACCCCGACATTTTGATAATCAAGGTCACCGAAAGTGTAGTAACTTGCAGATCCCCCTAAATGCTCCTAGCTGGCTGTGTTACTTTTGATCACTGTACAAAAACTTCCATGTTAGTGTTTTCATTACATATCAACTTTTTCTCAACTTTATCCGTCAACCTGACAGAATTTTCCAGAGTCACCAAGCGTGTACGGCTATGCCAACTCTGGAGCAACGGCCATATTCAAGGAAGAAAACAAACTGAGTATGTACGCAGTTAGAATTTAGTAAAAACATGATTCTCATACAACAAAATGTGGAGGCTAACATGGAGCTGTGTTCTTACTTACAGCAGCTTCTGCATATACACAGCACTACTCCCAAAGAGCCAGAAAGTCGCAGCATCAGCTGCAGGAACACTCCACCCTTCCACAGGTACTACAGTTATCGTTAATAATGATAGTTAGAGTTAATAGTCGGCCAATTTTAAAGTGAGTAAACAGTAACATATAAATGTAATCAATACTTTTTAGGTGAGCAGGCCTGCCAGGGAGCCTTCAGCACCACCATACCCAGGAAATGTAGTCAGGCCTAAGGAGAAAAAAGTAAAGCAGAAAACATTATCACAGGTACCTTTTTGTTTTTACAAGTTAAGATATTTTTCTTTTAAACTTTAAAAGAAAGTTTAAACGAAGAACTGTTTTCTATCTTTTAGATAGAACACAGCAGCACGATGGTAGAATACCTGAGTGTTGACCTCTGTAGAGACTATACAACAACAGCAACCAAAATCAAGCAGGAGCCCAAATCACGTAAGGACGAACAAACAAAGAATTAAGTGTTACAGTTTATTCAAGACAAGTTTTGTTCAAATCATTAAGAATAGATTAAAAAAGTGTGATAAAAAATCATCTGCTCTTAATTACAGCACTTCACACAACTCCACAGCCATCTTTCCACAGAGCCAGCCGTCGCCTGCCGCAGGAGTTCCCCCCTGGTTTAGAGGTACTGTGGTTTTTTGCTAAATAATGCTTAAGCATGTGACAAACCACCAAAGTTTACTGCTGACACTTTTTTTAAAAGTACAATATCACTGGAATTAAAGTGTTTTCTGTATGTCAGGTACAAAGATCCTTGCCTCCAACTCCTCCACCACGGGAACAAACAGTGCTGCCTATGAAAAAAGACAGCAGGGAGCAAACACAGGTACAAAACAGATTGTTTGAAGTGTATCTTTTGTGTTTTAGTTATCCTTGACTTCTTTAAACAACCACATAATCAGTCCCAGCTACGGTAAAACACCGGGAAAAGCAGGTAATACAGTTTAAGATTTAGCATTGCCTTTTTTTTAAAAATTGTATTTTGCTATTTAGATTCAGGATGGAAATATCTGCTCAAATAACTTTAAAGTGATTAAATATGTCAGTGGAATCAATATTTTTCAGATGAACAGACCTACCAGGCAGCCTTCAGCACCATCATACCCAAGAAACATAGTCAGGCCTAAGAAGAAAAAAGTGAAGCAGCAAACATTTTCACAGGTACCTCACTTTTTTAGATTTTAAGGTTATTGTATTTTGTTTTTTCCAGTTTAAGTAACTTTTTGTCTCTCTTAGACAGAAGACAGTAGAGAAGTGGCAGGATATCTGAGCATTGACTGCTGTGCAGACTATCCAACAACAACAACCAAAATCAAGGAGGAGCCCAAGTCACGTATGTATAAACAAAGAAATTAACAAAATGTATACAAAAGAAGATGTTTTTTTTAACCTGTCTGAAAAAACCCTCCTTTTTATTATAGCACTAGCAACCCCACAACCATCTTTCCAAAGAGCCACCAGCGTTCAGCAGCAGGAGGTAGAGTGCGGTGATTTTCTCTAAGTGTTCCAGCTTGTGCGCTAAAACAGCAGAGTTTGGTATCACGTAGCGCTGTGGTTTGAAAAAGAGGAAGAAGCTGTGTTTTCTTTTTCTATGTTTCAGGTTCCCCTGGAAGCAGCAGTGATGCTCAAAAATCAAGAGAAGAAGGATCAAACACAGGTACCAGACGGGCTGCTTGAAGCAGAACCTTTGTTTTAGTATTTAATCTTTAGCATCTCACATCTATAGTACAGTTACTGACTGCAGTTTCAGTTTGGTGAAGGACTGTCCAGCACCAAACCAACTAATCACATCATCCTCATGTACTTTGTCTTTAATGCTAAGCAGCAAATGTTAGCCAAGCTGGCATCATGATCATCATAATTAACATGCATGTAGCCCATCTTAGTCTACTCTTTGAAAGCATCAGCAGTTAGTCTACTCTTTGACAGCATCAATGAGCAGTTAGCGTGGCTGTTGTTTTTTCATTCATTCTATAGTAAAAAGTCTTCAATAACGGCAGCTAGTTTTCAAATAGTTTCATTTTAACCTGACAGAATTCACCAGGACCAGCAAAGACAAGCAGCAGTAACAGCTCTGCAGCAACGTTCAGAGAGGATGAATACGAATCAGGTGTGTACAGAGCTACGATCTAAGAGTATGACTTTGAATAGAAGCGAAAGCTGGAACTATGATCTTTTTACAGCAGCTTCTGCACAACGCTCCACCCAAAGAGCCAATAACTCAAAGTCAGACCATCAACTTTACGAGTTCCCCACCCTTCCACAGGTACAATGGATCCATTCATAGTACTTTAAAATGAGTAAACAGCAGCATGTAAATGGAATCCATATTTTACAGGTGACTGCACCTGCCAGGGAGCCTTCAGCACCACCATACCCAGGAAATGTAATCCAATCTAAGGAGGAACAAATAAAGCAACAACCATTATCACATGTATGTCACTGTTTTAGAACTTAGGACTTTAGGTTTTACACATGTTTCTTCAGTTTAAGAAATGTTTTGTCTCTCTTAGGCAGTAGACTGTAGTGCAATGACAGGATATATAAACATTGACCCATCTGCAGACTATGCAACACCAGCAGCCAAAATCAAGGAGAAGCCAAAATCACGTATGTGTGACCAAAGAAATAAAGTTTATTCAAGACAAATTTTTTTAAAAAAAAAAAATTTGTCTGGGAATTTGTCTGGGAATTTTTTTTCCCAGACAAATTTTTTTTAAAAAATTTGTCTGGGAAAAAAAACAATAAAGCAATCCTTTTTTCCTCACAGCACCCCCAACCTCACAACCATCTTTCCAAAGAGCCACCAGTGACCAGCAGCAGGAATTCTCCACAGGTTTGAAGGTAGAGTCCTGTGACTTTC